ATGCTTGCTATTTTACTTTCTTGATTAGGTCACCGGTACCCTACCCTAGCCTTAAACCTCGGTTAGGGTTTTCTTAGGTTTTTTTGTAGGGTTTAGGGTTCCTCAAAACCCCCCTACTTCCCCGTCCTCTTCGGGCACCCTGGACCCGAACCACCCCTCCACCTTTGACGGCGCCCGTGCTAGCCTTGCTAGCGTCGTTCGCCGCTTTCTACCGCGGACTTCCCCATACGCCCTCCGCTCACGCGGACCTCTTCTGGCCCCCTCCAGTCCGGTCCGTCATCTCCCCATGGCCAACGGTGCGTCACACGCCGTCGACACGGCGATGACCACGACATCAGTCTCCACACCCGTGCCGGCGGACCAGGGCCATCAGCCCCAAGGGGATCTACACACCCTCCTCACCTCCCTCCTTGCGCCCATCCAACCGCAACTCGCGACCCTCGCGCCCATCCAGGCGCAACTCGCGACCCTTGGGCCCTTACAGGCGCAGGTGGCGACCCTTGCCGCCGGCGTGCAGCAACTCCAGGACGCTGGTCGTCCTTCCTCTCCTCATCCTCTCTCTTCTCCTGGCTCTCAGTCCGGGTCCCCAGTTTTCCAAAAGGGTGGCCACGGCAGAGTTTCCTCCTCTGCCGCCCCCGACGCGGCCATTTTGGTGACCGTCCACGCCCCTAGCTCGACGGCGCCACGAGTCAGGCCCTTCCTCAGTCTACGGGCGCACCGGCCCAGATTCCGGTTACGACGGCCACGAGACCACAACCCGTTACCATGGTCTCAGCGTTTCCGGGTGCCCCGCTCCTCCCCCCCCTTCGCACGACCGCAACGCCACCTGGCTCTCCCCCCTCTGGGATGCCCCGCGCCGCTTGTGCATCCACTTCCTCCACTCTTCCCCCTGCTACCCCTCGCACGACCTACGTTCGAGGTCTCGAGGACGAGATTGCCCAGCTCCGGGCCAACCTCGCCCTCTTACGCCTTCAGTCACCCCCACCCTCACAGGTGGCCGCTCCTTTGGGCGCACCCCCTGCCTCCTCTACCCTTCCTCCCATGTAGGCTCGTTTTCCGCGCCCTGCACCCTATACAACTCCTTCCTACCTTCTTCCTAATCCCGCGGTTGCTGCGACCTCTTCTACCGCAGCACCCTCGCAGCCTGCCGCTGTTGCCACCGCCGCTCCCCCATGCGGCCCGGGCGCACAGTCAGCTGCGCCCCTTTCTCCAGGACCTGCGCCGACTTACTCAGTCGTGGCACAGGCCTCCGCTCCTCGATCCCCTCGCCGCCAAAACGGTGGCGCGCCACTCATCCGCTTGTCGGACATTGCCTTGTATGACGGTACAGGCATACGCGTATCTCGATGGCTGCAGTCTGCTACCCGCACACTCCAGCTCATGGGCGCCACACGCGAGACGTGGGTGGGTCACCTCTCCACGCGCCTGCGTGGCGGTCCTTTCGAGGCCTGGGAGGATTTYTATGCCTACTCCCTTCGTGAKGGTCGGACTCMRACCTTCGTGGATTTCCAGGCGTTCCTCGAGGATCGCTTCGGAGCCCGATACGACGTGACTGACGTCTTCGAGCRTGTCGTCACTACACGCTGGTCCGACTCTGGTGGCGCTGCCGGCCTGGATCGCCACATCCGGGTCTTTCAGGACGCCCGYCTCGTTTGCGACGTGGCGTTCCTCCCTGAGGCTGCCCTTATCGATCGTTTCTTGGCCAGCCTTTCACTCGAGTACCGCTCCGAGCTATGGCGGTACGAGTTCACATCGGCCCCACAGGCTTATGAGGCCGCCAGGAACCACCAGCGGATGCGAGCCCGTCTTCACCCCGCCTCCTCCTCTCAGCCCCAGCGCACGGCGCCGTTCCCCTTTCCACAGTCGCCCCCGCCGTTCCACGCAGCAGGGCCGCCACTTCTCGCGCCGCTTCAGCACGATGAAGTATGGTGAGCAGGACGCTGTTACCCCACTGTCATCTGAGGGCGACCACAGTGACGACCTCGATCTCTGCGAGGCCGTCCACTATCACTTGGAGGACTCTACCCTCCCTGCAGCTGAGCGCCTTCAGCKCGCGCTCTCTGCCCTCTCTCGGGCACRCAGCCGCCCCGGTCACGCTGGCGCATCGCCCCCCGAGGTCCCTCAGGAGGACCTCCCTCAGGGCTTCGTCCCTCCTCGTGGTGTCCTTTCCCCTTAGGAGTGCGCGGCTATTCTGGGCTGGCGTGGGTGTTTGCGCTGCCGCTTGGACGGTCATACCTCCTCGCGGTGCCCTTACACTACCGCCCTCGACCGCCACTACGCTGACCTTTCTCGTCAGCGTCGTGCTCAGTCCCCCCCGGCGCCTCACGTCCCCGCGGCGCCTCCTAGCCACGATGCAGTGTACACCTGCGCCCTCCTCAGTAGTGGGCTTCCCGACATCTCCGTCGCGGTTCGCCCCTCTCGCTACTGGAGTTGAGGTATCGCAGGACTCGACAGAGTGTACTCCGCC